CTTCAGTAGGCTGTAAAACAATGAATTTGTCCATAATAAGGGTGTAGGAACTCTTGAGAGTTTTTCATGTATCATCAGCTATTCTGTCATACCTAATTAGTCAATAATCACTGGACTAAATGTGTGAGTAGGAGGCAGTAGTATCTTTAGGGGTATTTAATATCTGTTACCTGGTATCTAAAGCCACAGCTACTATTCAGGACATTTTCTTCTGTTTGTCTTTTAAAAACAAAAAGTTCAGTCCAAAGCACTCTAATCATTTATCTTTAATCTCATCATCACTTTGCAGTCCAAATGGCTAGAATAAAACTTTAAATTCTGCTAATAAACCTCAAGGACAAGTTAACCCTTCATTTGGGTTTAAAGACTATGTCTACTCGCCTACCTCTGGCCCTTTACAAAGCGTGAAAATAGCATCTTGACACAGCTGAACAGAAGCTGAAGATCTTGCAATATCTTAGAGAGCAAAAGGTTTTCAAGCTTTGTTTTTACACAGAATGCGAACTTAGTCTCTAACTCCCCTTTAATTTACACACGAGTTATTTTCACTTCCCTGATAGGATATTTTTACGTGAACAGTAACAGTGACTACTGGTTGGTTTTAAGTTTTATTTAAGAATGAACTGAAATAAACCTCAATTCTGGCCAAAGGGATTCTCATTGCAATATTTCAGTAGCTTTAACAAAACCCAAACCAATCTTTCTAGTTATGTCTTAATCTTTTACGGGTTTTCAGAAAAGCTTTATGATTTAATCTATGCTCAAAATAACAACAGCAAAATACAAATTAACTCAGTTGGATGCTCTTCAAGTTGCTTCCAAGAGTGCTTATCTAAAGGTTGGTTTGGGTGGGTTTATTGTTAATCTCTGACCCTGGAGGGAGAGGAGAAGGAAGGGAGCTTGTCTAAAAAGATTCAAAACCAAGGAGGACTATGACAATTACCTAGCTTTACCTGTACAGCTTTCATAGACTTTCTATGAGAAAAGACTAAGCTGGTAGAGAGAGGGTAGCACACACTCCTGAAATAAGAGGAGTAAGAGGGCAATGATTATTGTCATACTCTATGCCCTAGAATTGGTCTTCAGATTGATAAGGCACTGACCAAATTTTCCCCACACTTACAACTTGAGATCCAGATGTAATGAAATTTCTTTCAATAAACTTAGGTTGTGTACACACAGCTATCTCTCATTAGAACCCTCTAAAGAGAAAACAATCACTTTAGACACAAGCCATTTTTAGGGGAGCAAAACCAACAAGTACTTAAATTGCTGTGAAAAGGTTGACTTTACATGGAAAAGAATTCATCATCAATGTGATTTAATGAATAATTTTTGTATTTCAAAGCTTAGAAAAAAAAAAACAAACAGAATACCACTCTGGTTGTAAAACTTCTGTTTGCAAGAAGTAATATAAAAAAAGAGACAAAAAAATAAAAGCAAACCTTAAAATGTCACTGAACAAGTTTGACAAGCCTCACCACTTGCTTTATATTGTCTATTCATGCAATAGTGGTACTACTGTTCCACTGGGACACTGTCAAGTTCATCTTAATTTTCAAAAAGGGATCCAATGATTTTAAAAGCTTTTGAAGCAAAGGATTTCTTTTAGTAAAGAGCACCGGCTGTCAACCAACACTAGGACCTCTTGTTTACAGGAGAAGATAATGTGGTGGCTTAGGAACCAGCTGTAAAGGAATGTGCCTCCAAACAGGACAGAAATCAAGAGTGGGCATATTCTTTAAAAAGGTTAATGAAGTAACTTCACTATGGTTATTGATTTCCAATTAATATGATGTCTGCCCTATAGTCTTGTTTTCAGTAGTAAAGGTATAATATAGCTTATAGATTTAACCTCAAAAAAAAAAAAAAAAAGACAGACTTATGGTCATGTCATCTGGTCAGGTGAGTTCTAAGTATTCTAAGAGGCTGACAGGATGCTCTTAGAGGGGCCCAGTTTCAACCAACAGACTGCATTCACTAGAGACTGTAAACATTTTCTCATGGTTTTCCCTTCTATATATGTAATAGGGCTCCCCCTCCTAGGACTCCTTTAAAAATCTTCTAAAAGAAAAATATATCTACTTATAAAAACCTGCAGTTGTCAGTATCTTGATTCTTTGATATACAGAAAGCTCCAATACCACAACAGTACAACGGTCATATGGCATTTTCCACCCATAGAAACACATGCCTAGGGAGAAAAAACATTTCTCAAACTAAACTGTTTGGATCCCTTTTTGTAATGTTTACACAAATAATATTTACATAGTGAAGAAAACAAAAGAAGGTGTGTTTGATAGTTCTTTTTCAATTCTTAAGAGTTTGGAGGTTACAGTAAAAATAGTATTCTGAAAACTAAGCAGAGCCTAAACATTGTGGGGCACAGAAGTGTATCTGCTGCTCAGGAAGGTCATCACATCACTATTTTCAGAGTGACATTTAAAAACTGATGTTATTTCCAAATGACAAATAAGCCTCCAGGTTCAAATAAATTGTTAAATGAGGTGCACTTCCAATTGTATTCTGCTAATATTACATACTACTATTCTAGGCCTTATACAAGCCAGTCATTACACAAATCATAAAGCCACTGAACTTTAAATTGTAATTGAATTTCTAATGAGTTCCTCCTCTTGGCTAGGAGGGAAATAAATACACTTATTATTGATGGAATTTTTGAACTGCTAAGTCACTAATTTGCAACTGAGGACAGACTCTAAGAGGAAAGTAAACTCACCTTCCCATTAATAAATTACTTAAATATTTAATGTATTTTGGTACTGTACTTTCTTTGTTTGAATTATCATCAGGTAAGTTAGAGATGAAAAATTCACCTACACGGTTTTAATTTTGGCTTCTCTTACAGGTTTCAATTAGTTTTAAATGCTAAATATAGTCTTAAACAATGACTGATCTTTTGAATAGAATAATTTGAAGACAGAAAAACAACAACTTCTATTGCACCTTATGTGAAGAGTTATCAATCACTCAGAGGCCACAACTCTATCGACAGAGAACTAGTGGCCAAATCTACTAGGCAAGCATCCATTAATGTTTAGAGCTGGGAGAAAAACAAACAAACAAACAAAAAAACCAAACACATCTTCCAGCTTAGCTCTCTCTCTTTGGCAAAACTGTGTGATGTCAGGCTCTGACTTCCAGTTGCTTATCTCCACAGAAATGGTTAACCTAGAACATACCCACTTTAGCTTATTTATGACAAACAAAATAATAATAATAAAAAAATCCACAGGGTTCTCATCTACAATATCTTTTAAAAAGCACATACACTGTTAAAATGCTTATTTTTGAAGAGAAATAAACAAAGAATTTAAAAAAATGCAAAGCAAAGTCAGATGTGCAAGGTCTACACAGTAATACTGCTGGCCACTCAGACGGCGTCCTTCTATGCACCCAACGTGGGTTAAGCTTGGGGGTTCAGTAACTGAAAACGCATTCTACACAGGTAACTTTTTGCCCTCTCCCAGCCCATACACCCTGTCACCTTCCACAAAACCAGAAATCATGGTATTTCTAACTGTGATATAAGATACGTATTTTAACTCATATCTTTTCCAAACAGAAAACCAAACTAAAAAAACTTAACTCAGAAAAAAAAAAAAAAAGCTCTTCTATATTTCTTTGAATGGATTTTTAGCTAATTATTGTGTAGGTAATATTTTCTATTTAGATTTCATAGACTTAAGGGCAAAATACTTTACGATAAAAAAGTATAAAATTCTCTAAGAATACAAATGTGAGAAATTCTTTTTATATGAGGCCTAAATTATTAGAAGATATCTGTCAAAAAGTATTTCTTACTCTGGGCTGCTGCTAAAACTTATGATGCCTCATGAGGTTGTGACATCCAACACGTAACCTTTGTTCACATGCCATTTTTTGTTAAAATTCTAAGATATCCCACCTTCATGCCATTTTGGGTAATTCATAGTTTGTTTGTTTTGGAAATTAAATGCACTACTGTAAAGGTAAGCTCTCACAAAATTGCTTGCTCAACTACTGAGAAAATAGGGTTTCATGGCAGGGGCCTGTAGTCAGTTTGCAGAAAAATGTTTTGTCACAAAGCGTAAGTTACATAAGAAGGAAACAGTTGATACTTAAAAATCCCCAGAATCTCAAAGCTTTCACACTTTTTTCCTTTTAAAAATTATTTTGTATGTCTTACAACAAGATCCATACATACAGTATGTGGAATCTCTTTCAAACGAATGTGATCCTGCATCTCATATGGAACAAAAACAATGCAAATGAATAATAAAAAAACATATCTCTGGCATTGTGCACACTAAATACTGTGAAAGAAAATATCCTGACAAAATGTCAGTATGTCACTTCAATGATAAAAATCCCCTTGGGCCTGAGAGATGGGCTCACCTTGAAAAATGTAATTTTTCATAAAACCTTCCCAGGAAAGTTTAAGTTGGGGCTGCCATTCTCTCTAGTAAGCAGATCCATGGCCCAACAATGAATCATATAAAAGATTAAACTTGAAAGCCTGTTAGAGACCACCACTTTTAAAGTGGCTGCCATACAAACACGTGGCCTTTGTGTCCTCTGTGGGAAACAATGTTCCCTGCACAGAGGCAATTTCAGAAGTTTAGTGTTTGTTTTTGTAAAAACCTCCCAAAACAAAACAAAACAAGCAAACTCCTAAACCTCAAACAAACCCCAACAACTCACATTATTAACGTTGCACACTTGGGCTGTGAGAAAATGAGTGAGACTCCAGACCAGAAGCGAAACACACCTTTCAGGTGGGTTGCTGGTATGATCCCTACAAAGTTAAAGTATCTCTACACGCCAGTCCAAAACCAGCTCCTGATGTAGCCCAGAAGAAATAGATTTTTCTTTTTTGAAGTATATCTAAAAAAAAGGCAATTCCCCCCTCCAAAATGTAGTAGAAAGTTAAAAGAAATGCAAAGTAGCTATCATCTATTCCAAGCACAGCACCGCCAGAGGATTCACACACACTATTTGGTGTTTCATGTTGGTTCTCCTTTCATTCTTTTAAGGCAGTGGTATCCACAGGTCAATTCAGAGATAAGAAGCATGGTCAATGGCAGTTCATTTTGCAACTCTAATTTGTTCTCACTTCATTCCCTGAAATTAGTGCTTTTTGGTTCAGAACTCCAAAGGCTTAGCTGGAACCTGTGGGCTCCTTCGTGGCGCAGGATCAGTCTATAGCTGGCACTCCTTCAGGTCCTCACTCTCACTGTAGAGCAACAGTTCACCTTTCTTCTTTTACTCAAATGTCATCAAGTTTGTAGGAACCTATGAGATATAGGGATCACAAACCAAGAGTGTTTAAACCACTACTTTTCAAGTAATAGTTCTTATCTTTCCTTGTCATTTAGGCAACCCCAAATGTTAAAATCTCTCTGACCTAAATTTGATAGAAGACACTTCAATAATTTATGAATAAATGAATACCCCAGAACATTTCAGAGAGAAAAACCACTGAGCTAGGTTAATACTCTCTCTCTCTCTCTAGCAAATGGACTCCGGGGCTCAGATGATGTTTACTGAATGAATGAATGAATGAATGAATGCGCAGAGCATTAGGTATGCCTCTGGCAGGGGGAGATTCCAGAGAAACACGCCTGTCATTGTTTATTTTCCTCATTATATCTGTTACAGTAAATTCTAACATGTAAATGTTCTAAATCCAGCACAGATACTAAGAACTTCTTTGTGAAGTCATTATGAATACAAATGCAAAAGAATAAAACTAGATAAATTCAGATCTGACATTTTATAACCTCAAAAATCAATAGGCTATAGATTAACTTACTATTTATAGAGTAAATCAAATATAATTTGATTTTTAAAGTCTGAAATTCAATAATAATAATAATTTTGAAATATGAATGTTTTTTTTTTTTAAAATTAGCTAATAAATCTTCTAGTCAAAGTCTAAAGGTTTCACTTTGTTAAAGAAAACACTCTTTATCCTTAATACCAGCTTTCCATAGTTGTGCTGGTAAAGACATTTATATGTACATGGTCTTCTCCTTGTCTTTTAAGATAGTTTAATGTTCTCACACTTTCATCTTTTTCTGAAAACCTATGATACTCAAAAAAATGCATCTCTTACATGCATCAGCTTCTCAATGAAAAATTCTGTTCAACAATATAACCATAACTGAATTATAAATCAAACAAAATACAAATGCTCAAACTAATTTAAAGTATAAATTTCTGGGTCTGGTGAGAAAAAACTCATTTTGAAATAAAGTAAGAGCTTCACTTTCTTCTATGTTACTTGAACGTCGTTTAATGTGTTGCTGAGTCTTCTCAGTGCATTCTGGGGTGAAGGGAGATGAAGCATAAATACAGACAGGCAGATATGATGACAAACAGAGTCTAACGTGTTTCAAATTTTACCACATCTATTTATAAATTTGCTTTTACTCTGATTTTTCAAGTATAGAAACAAACACGCAAGCAGATGAAAAGACTAGTGGTTGGCTGATTCAGCAAGAAGGTCCACTAAAGAGCAAAAGAAACGGAATCTTTTTTTAATTTCCTTACTACCCAAATATTTTATTATAATACACACACACACATATATATATATATATATATATATATATTTTTTTTTTTTTTCCTCAGCAATTTCTCTTGTCTATATGGCTTTCAAAGTTTAAGAAAACTGAATCGTATGCTGGTGTTCATATACTACCCTAGATATATTTTGAAATCTGAGGTTTTTCTTCTTCTTCTTTTTTTTTTTTTTAAAAGACACTTAATACTTTAAGCTGCATTTAAAGAGAATGTATAGCATAGAGGTGACTCCAGAAAGGATTAGTGCAGGCAAAAGAAGGTCTGTTTCCTTCATTCTGCCCTAGACACTAACGTGACAAGGATAAGACAGTAATCTGTACTCTATGGCATTTTTTCATCTCCTTTATGAAGGTTGCTTAAAATGGTACCAAATACTGCTATCAGTCTTTCATATTTATTTGATATATATACATATGAAATAACAAAATTACGAGCAAACTAAGTCTATTTCAACGATATTTAGAAAGAATGGATTTAAAGGATGAAGGTATCAGAGTCGGGTCCCGAGCCAACCATTTTTCACTTCTCCAACCCTGAAACAAATCATTTAGCTTCTCTGAGCCTTAGAGTTTCGTTTATTAAAGAAAAGGGTAATAACTTAGATCCTAAGAATATTGTAGAATGAAAAATACTTCTATATCATTTTATGCAGTATTAGCTATCATTAATACCCTAAGCCAATGATTTTCAAGTATGTTCAACTAAAACTTGGTTCTACAAAAAGTCTATAGAATTTCCATAACTACAGTTCTGTTTAATGTATGTCTGTCTGCTTTACAAATTTGTGGGTTCAATTCTAACCGTGCAACAAGGTTTTGGGAAAACAACACTAGAGATTCCTTCTCCTTTGGAGCTGAAAGTCTCTAAATAACACCATGTTTGTTTCAGTAAAATAAAAACAAACCAAAGATCAAAATGGTTTCTAATTTCACTGTAACCATGGGAAGCCATATCAAATGGTAATTAGAACAAGTAAAAACAAACAAACAAAACTAACTGTCAACTAGTCAATTCTGACCCATAGTGACCCCCACTGGGTTTCCAAGGCAGTAAATTTTTACAGAAGTAGATTGCCCAATTTTCTTTCTGCAGAGCAGCTGGTGGGTTTGAACCACTGTCCTTCTTGTTAGTAGTCAAATCCCTCAGGCACTGTGCCACCAGAGCACCTTAGAACAAGTAAAGATGAATCACAATAGTTTTTACTGAAGAGCCATCTAGTGTTTACCTCTTCTGATATTATACTCCCTAGCCTCTCACCACATTCTACCAACACTGGCTATATTACTCTGTTCTGAATACCTTAAGCTTTTTCCAGCCTCAGCACCTTTGCATTCTCCGTTCCCTCTACCTGGAACTGGCATCCTCCTATTTTCATATGGCTGGTGCTAGTCCTTCAGGTCAATGCCATCTCCTCCTCCTTTATTGAAAGCTGGATCTATTCTCATCACTCTGTATCACATTATTGTTTTATTTTCTTTATATAGTTTTTACTACTTGAAATTGTATGTTGTTTATTGTCTTGCTCCTCACTACAATGCACACTTCATGTCTTCTTGCCTACTGTCAATAATAATAAAAACACTACTCTTTGCCCAGTTCATTCAGAAAAGTATTTCACTGACTTCTCTTTGGAATCTTTTAAGATATATTATAGATTCTTCTGAGGACTAAGAGAGATGCTCACCTGTTGTTTGTTACTTTGGCAGGCTGCACTCAAATGCTTAAACCACAGCATTGCATTCATCCGACTGCCAGCCTGAAACTTATATGAGTTCCCTAAAATTATCAAAAACAAAGGAGAAATAAAAAAAAAAAATTGGACTATGATAGAATAATCCTGACAAATATCAAAAAGCAATATAAACCACTAGTGTTCTCCTGATTTTCCAATACAAAGAGTCCCCTATGCAAACAAATTCACGTTACTGTTTTTTTTTTCCCCAGAAAGTCACCATTTTGCTGTTTATGAATTAGAAGAGATGTAAATCAATTTAAAAACTAGTGTTAATTTACGTTTCTACATGCCAAAATGCTTTAGTATGTTTTGACATTTAAACAGCTATTTAACATGACTAAGGATTAATGAAAGAACTCGAGTGCTGCAAACAAGTAAGCCCTCAACTTCTAATGAAATTGTTGGAGGTCTGAACCCACCCAGCAGCTCCGGTGGAGAAAGACCTGGCAGTCTGCTCCCATAGAGATTACAGCCGAGAAAGCCCTATGGGGCAGTTCTACTCTTGTCCTATGGGGTTGCTATGAGTTGGAATTGACTCAGTGGCACTCAACAACAAGGATTGAATTACTATCAATTTCAACAACATTTTCAGTTACATTTGTCAAGGTTATTACAAATTTCCAGATCTGTGGATGGCTCTACAGGGAAATCTAAGACAGCATTTCTTTCCCTTGTAGAATATGAGAAATTCATCTGTGTTTTGTGTATTTAATAGCTCCTATATCATCCGTAAGAATCCCTAAGTGGCACAGTGATTAAAGCGCTCATCTGCCAACTGAAAAGTCAGTGGTTCAAACTCACCAGCTACTCTGTGGGAGAAAGATGTGGCAGTCTGCTTCGATAAACATTAGAGCCTTAGAAACCCTCTGAGGAAGATCTACTGTACCCTGTAATATTGCTATGGGTTGCAACTGACTTGACAGCAATTGGTTCAGGGTTTTTTGGTTTATACTGCCTCTAATTCAATGATAATGATTTATGGTTATATGTATTAAGGTGAGAAGGCAATAAACTGAGCAAAGAAAGGATTTATACTATAGGCTGCTCTAAATTAAAAAATATTGTGGTAAAATAGACATAACAAGGTATTTGCCAAGTGTCTAATTCAGTGACACTACATCCAGCATGATGTGCATCCATCAACATTATTCATTTCCAAGTTTCTCATCACCCCAAACAGACACTCAGTACCCTTTAGGCAGTTATTCCCCATTCCTCCTCCTCCCAGCCCTTGTTGTTGTTATTGTTGTTGGGGAGCTCTGGTAGCATAGTGCCTAAGGCGCTTGACTGCTAACCAGAAGGCTGGCGGTTCAAATCCACCAGCCCCTCCTCGGAAGGAAGATGAGGCAATCTACTTCCGTAGTGATACTGCCTCGGAAACCCAAGGAGGGGTCGCTATGAGTCGAGTCTGACTCGACGGCACATAACAATACAGCCCTTGGTAACCTCTAATAAACTTCTGTGTTTATGTATCTGTTTATTCTAGATACTTCATGTAAGTGGGATGATAGCTTATTTGCTCTTTTGTGTCTGATTTATTCTACTCAGCATAATGCTTTCAAGGTCCATCCACATTGTAGCACGTATCAGAACTTTATTTCTCTTTATGGCAGAATATGTATAGACCACATTGTGTTCCTCCAGTCATCTGCTGATGGACATCTGGGTTCTCTCTACCTTTTAGCTATTGTAAGTAATGCTGCAAAGAAGACCTAAAGTCTTTTTATTTCCCAGGTCTTAAAAAATTCTACTCTCTTCCCTTTAATTGCATTCAATGGATGAAGAGCCTGACCATATTTGGACACCATAGATTTTTTCTTTGAGATGCTAATAGTCAAAGAAATTTTTCACTTTCAGAAGCATTTTTTTTCCTTCACCAAATGTTTAATTTATCCAAGTAACATTATTTTGCTTACTGAACTCAGATGCAGACATTAGGTCTGAATAAAAGGACTATCTACGAATAAGCAGGCCACAGTTGCCATTTGTCCATTTTCCCTTCTCCTGCAAAAAGACCACCAGTAATAGACCCAATAAATAGCCTTGCTACAACAAAATAGTTCTGTTAAGCATCCTAAGGAAAACAAAGAATGTGTTAATTAAACCCAATGAAAATGATATCTTTTTAAAATGGAACTTTATCAATAATGCCTTTGGGATTTTGCAGCATTGGAGTTTTAAATTCAGAATATAGAGAAAAGTGTCCTTAATCTGTAAATAAATTTATTTATTCTCAAAACAAGACAGTGCTGGTGTTTCTCTTCCATATCTAACATATTTCCTTACTTAAGTCTTTACTTAACATACTCTATCTTCCTAAAGCTAAAAAACCAAACTGATTGCCTAGTGATTCCAATTCATAGTGACCCCCATTGGGTTTCCAACGCGGAAGCAAGACTGCCGAATCTTTCTTCCACGGAGTGGCTGGTGAGTCTGAACCACCAACCTTCTGGTTGGTAGTCAAATGCCTTAGGCACTGCACCACCAAGATCCCTGTATCTTCCTAAAAGTAGTACACAAAATAGCATTTAAATAAACAGAAATGAAAGTATAGTCAATAAACAGTAGTGACATTTCATTTCAGTTATGAGTTGGAGTTAGTGTAGAGTGGATTCTGGGCAGATGTGAAAGAATTTCCTTCTGGCTTCCTGTGTGGTGCTTGTCAACAGCTGGCAGTTAGGAAGAAGAGTAGCAGTTGCTCAAGGATCCTTTCTGATGGACTGCCTCAGGTACCCACTACAGGCTCAGGTACCCACTACAGGCTCAGGTAGTGTGAGAAGGTATGATTGTATACAGCCAACCCTCCAAATTCTCTTATCTACTTTATAAGCAAACTCCTACGGTCAACTGCCAATAATTTAATTCATAAATGTCTACATATATTGTATGGCAAGTATTAGAACTGTATTTATTTGGAAAGTGACTGATATCAAATAACCAATTAATTTAATTAAAAATAACTTCTGCCATACTCAGAACTTAAGAATAATATAATTCAGGGTATAAATGAAAACCCTTCCCCAAAAAATACTGCCATCAAGTTGATTCCGACTTGTAGAGACTCTATATAACAGAATGGAACTGCCCGTTAGGGTTTCCAAGCCTACAAACCTTTACGGAAGCAGACTGCCACATCCTTCTCCTGTGAAGCAACTTCTTGTTGTTGTTATTTGCCGTCGAGTCGGCCCCAACTCATAGCGACCCCTCCTTGGGTTTCGGAGGCAGTATCACTACGGAAGTAGGATTGCCCAACCTTCCTTCCGAGGACTGGCTGGTGGGTTTGAACCGCCAGCCTTCGGGTTAGCAGTCAAGTGAAGCAACTAGTGGGTTTGAAATGCTGACCTTTCTGGTCAGCAGCTTAAGCTTTAAACACTGCCACCAGATTAGTACATATATGACAAATCTCTGAGATTTTAAAATAATTGTGGCCTATGGCGTGTCAACTTCATTTCCTTCTTCTCTCTCTCCTTCTCTCCCTCTTTTGGTTAGCTTTCAAGGGATTATTTGGGCTTTTAATTTTCAAGTTTATTCCCATGTAGTAAAGAAAATAAACTCTAAAGAATTTAAGGTATCATTAAAATGTATTATGTGACATATTTTCCCAAAAGATGAAACTATACAAACACTCCTGATATAGAATATCCCAGTTAAACTAGACTCTGGCTTATCAAAAGTTATGTATAAGCAATTCCTTAAACCCCAGTTACTCTAACAATTCACCTTTCTCAGAGTCAGTCAGCAAGAAGAGATCTGGATGTTCTGGGTCATCAGCCATCATCACCATCCATCCTACCACAGACACGTTCTTGTTTGATGTTGATTTGAACTGAGAGGAAAAAGGATAATTAATGGAAACACAACATTAATGGCTCATATTAAGGAAAAATTAAGCTTCAGCAGTTTCTCCTAATGAGAGATGAGATGTGGGAATTCATGCTGGTTCAACTCTGCCCAGGGCCTTTTACTACTAAATTCCATCTAGACAAGCCCTCCTTAGGTAGTATTCTATTTTCCAGATATTTCATCATCAAAACCTAACTGTCCTATTCTTCATTCCTAAAGAGCATGATCTTTTAGTGAATCTGATAAATTCATCTTTTTTTCCCCACTGAGTTACTGTGCTACTTCATGGGAAATACACATTTTAATAGAGTTGATATCTTAAACCTGATGACTGAATAAACCAGCAAGTGTCTGGATAAATCACCCTATTAACAGAGTAAAGGAGAAAACGAGATGATCATCTAAAAAAAAAAAAAAGCTACAATGTAACACATTGTGATAAGAACTTAGACAAGTAAAAATGGATAGGAATTTCTTTAATAAAGAATAAAACCAAAATCAAACTCTCTGCCATTGAGTCAGATCCGACTCACAGCAACCCCTTCTTGGGTTTCTGAGGTGGTATCACTATGGAAGTAGATCGTCCAACCTTCCTTCCAAGGAGTGGCTGGTGGGTTTGAACCGCCAGCCTTCTGGTTAGCAGTCCAGTGCCTTAGGTACTATGCCACCAGAATATCTATCAAAAAACAAAACAAAAAACCTAAATCTATACAAAAACAAAACAGAGAAGAAATCCCCTGCAGTAAACATACTGAAGGGTAAAATGCTAAAAATATGTCAAAATCAGCATCAGGACTAGAACGCCCACCATTGCTACCTCCATTCAACAGTGAACTGGAAGACTTGGTTCAGGAAGACAACAACAACAAAGTAAAAGGTGAGGAAGAAATGAAAATGCAGTTATTCACAGATGATCTTATTACATACACAGAACACTCACCAAAACCTACTGGGTTAATAAAAGAAAGATTTTCAAGATGGGTGGAACAAGATCAATATAAAAGTCAGCTGTAATTCTATACAAAGACAGAATAAAACGTTCTCTGGTCTTACGCCGACTTCATGTGTTGGTATGCTGGAGCTTACTGTTGTGGCGACTGTGTCGATCTTTGTCACTGAAGATTTCCTTCTCATTTTTGATGACCTTCTACTTTACTAAAAATGACATCCTTTTCCAGAGATTAGTCTTTCCTGATGCTGTGTCCAAAGTAAGTGGGCCAAGTTTTGCCATCCTTGCTTCTAAGGAGCATTCTGGTTGTACTTCTTCTAAGACTGGTTTGTTCTTCTGACAGGTCACAGTGTAGTCAATATTCTTCATCAACACCAGAACTTGAAGGCATCGATTTTTCTTGTCTTCCTTTTTCATGGTTCAGCTTTCTCATGCATGAGGTAAGTAAAAAAGACCACGGCTTGGGCCAGGTGCACCTAAGTCATCAAAGTGAAGTGTCTGCTTTTTAAACCTTTAGAGAGGTCTTCTGCAGCAGATCTGCCTAATGTAATAATACATCATTTGATTTCTTGACTGCTGCTTCCATGAACACTGATTATTGATCCAAGTAGAATGAAACTGCTGACAACTTCAATTTTTGTTTCTCCATTTATCATGATGTTTATTGGTCCAGTTGTTAGGATTATCATCTTCTTCATGTTTCTTCACATTAACGCATACTTCATACCGAAGGCTGTAGTCTTTAACCTTCATTAGTAAGGGCTTCAAGTTATCTTCATATTTTTGGTAAGCAAGGCTGTGTCATCTGCGTATCACAGGTTGTTAACAAGTCTTCTACCAATCCTGATGCCACATTCTTTTTTCCATAGACTAGTTTCTTGAATCATGTGTTCGATATACAGAGTGAATAAGTAAGGTAAAAAGATACAACCTTGCTGCATACCTTTTCCACGGACTATCCCCTTGTTCTACTCAAACAACTGCTTCTTGACCCATGAAGAGGTTCTGCCTGAGAACAATGAAGTGTTCTAGAATTCGCATTGCAGCTGGAATGCTCCTTGGAAGAGAGAATGGCCTCACCTACTTTGGTCATATTGTTAGATAGGACCATTCTCTGGAAAAGGCTGTCATGCTTGGTAAGGGGGAGAGTCAATGAAAAAGGGGAAGGCCCTCAGCGAGATGGATTGACACAGTGGCTGCAGCAATGGGCTCAGGTATAGCAGGGATCATAAGGCTGGCACAGGATCACGCAGTGTTTCATTCTGTTGTACATAAGGTCGCTGTGAGTTGGAGATGACTCGATGGCACGTAACAACAAATAAAGAATTCTCATTCTTTTAATGTCAAACACAAAACATGTAAAAAAGTATGACCCTTAGTTAAAAGACATTAGAAAAGACCCAAATCAATGGAGAAATACTATGAAATGAAGAAAAAGGTGCAATGTGGTAAAGATGTTAATTCTCCCTAATTGATCTATGAAGTGCATCGTTTCTATAAACATTCTAATAGAGTTTTAGGTGGAACTTTAGAAGTTGACTCTCAAATTTATAAGGTCAGAGGACTAAAAATAGTCAAGATACGTCTGAAGAAGAACTGGCGGGACTTGGCTTGCTACACATCAAGACTATAAAGCTACTGTGATGAGTCTGTGAACTACTGAGACAGGCAAAGACCAATAAAGCAAGAGAAATCTGGAAAGGAATCCATGCATATAGTTGCAAATCAACATGACAAGAGCAGGCTCTACAAACCAGTGAAGGATGAATTATCTGCACAGAAAAATCATGAAAATGGATGTCTATTTTACACTACACATACGCCTAATTCCAGATAGACTTTAAAGCAAAATGCAAAACTATTAATAGATAATGAAAATATCTTAAAGATCTCAAGTTACAGAAGGATTTTTTTAAAAAAACATAACTCAGAAAGTAATATCCATAAACAAGGGGGAAAAAAGTTTTATTACTTTAAAATTAAGTAGTTTTTATTGAAAGACACCATAAAGAAAATGAAAAGATAAGTCTTAATAATCTGGAAAAAGATATGCGTAACTCATAACTGGTAATAGGTTAGTATCTAAAGAATTTTTACCAATTAGTAGCAAAAATACACCATCAAACAGAAGAACAGGCAAAATATGTATAAAGGCATTTCACAGAAGAAATCAATGACCGATAAGCACACAAAAATCCTCAACCTCATTAAGCAATGAGGGGTATGGAAATTATAATCCAGAGATACCATTTCATGCTTAGCAGTTTAGCCAAAATTTAAAAGCCTGGCAATAACAAGCGTGGGGTGCAATGAAGTGTGCAGAGGAGGGTTTGCACAGAGGTGGCTGTGAGGATTGGGGATGTAGTACCAAGACGGCAGCTGGTGGTGGTGGCCCTGGCGGCTGCTGCTGGTAAAGCTGCTTCCTGATCATGTGCAGCCACTGCCCAGAACCGTGAGCCTGCATGTGTCCCAGGCCTGGCCTGTAACACCAGTGCTCATGGCAGGAGTGGAGAAGCCCCAACAGGTGCCACCCTATGCTCAGAGGGGAAGGCTGCATGGCTCCTGGGTGGGTAAATGAAGACAGGAGGAGGGGAAGGAGGTGCCACAAGCACTGGGATGTGCCCTGGAGCCCTATGGGGTTCACTATGGGGTTTGGGGTCTTTATAACCATTGTTGTTGCTGTTATGTGCTGTCGAGTCAGACCTGACTCATAGCGACCCCTCAGGTTTCCAAGGCGGTATCACCATGGAAGTAGACTGCCCAACCTTCCTTCCAAAGGAGTGGCTGGTGGGTTTGAACCACCAGCCTAAGGCACTACACTACCAGAGCTCCCTTTATAACCATTATGGAGAAATAATAAACAAAAGGAGAGCTACTTTCCCTCAAAACTAAAAAGACCTTATGGGACCATGGGTGTGTATACAGCTGGACTGCCTAAGTGGTTGTTAAGTGACACATACCTGTACAGGTATAGTTTCATAGTGATTTTTCTTTTTTGCCTCCAGCTTTTTATTTTGAAAAAGTTCAAACTACAGAGAAGTTAAAAGACTACTACAATGATTACCCAAATACCCTTCATGTATTTTTCTTCCCCGCATTTATTTGACCTCTCTTAACATTTAAATTCAAGTTGTAGACAGGACACTGACCCTTAAATACTTCAGCACATATCTCCTAAGAATAAGAATATATTCCTACATAACCACAATATAATTATGATACCCAAGAAATCTCAGACAAAATCATATAAAGACCTTATTAAAACTTCCTCAACTATCCCAATGATGGGACAATTTTATTTTTAATTCCAGGATTTAACAAAGGTATATACTGCATTTGGTTGCCAAGCCTCTTCAATCTCTTAATCTAGAACAGTCCTCCTGAGTCCCCCACCGCCCCACCCGCCTCTGCCATTTTTAGGAATTTCAGACCAGCTGTCTTTAGAATGTCCTACAATCTGCATTTGGCTGTTTCCTCATGGTTAGGTTCAGGTCACATATTTGGGCAAAATCATAATATAGGTGATGCTGTGTTTATATAATAGATTTTAATTCTTTGCTGCTTATACATAGCAAATCTTTTCTTCCAATTTTTTTTTTTTTAAATTTTAACTTCGAAAACATTTCTGTTCCTTCATTGGTTTTATTTCTATCTCTACCTGACAATAAATATAAACATAGTCCTGCTTCTACACCCTCTATTCTGCCCTTGTAATTCTTTCTTTAATCTTTATAGCTTTAACCAGAAAAGATGAGAAGTACAGTCCATTTCCTTGGCATCCACAGCTGATTTCCTTATGACCTCCTATACTGTAATTTCTAAACACTTAATATGAATTATTTATCAGAAACCTTACATAATTAAAAACCCAAACTATCATGTTAGCAATTACCTATATGTCAAACACCAACGTCATGTACAAAGAATTATTTAACATATGGATTAGATGACAAAGTCACTTATCTTAAAACTTCTCTAATTTGGCCTCTTTCTAATTATAGCTAGGAAAAACAAAACAAAAAATTTAATTTTAAATAACTACTTCTTTTCTAAAATTTTTTTTTATTGTGATTTGGGTGAAAGTTTACAGAGCAAATTCACTTTCCATACAGCAGCCCACATACTCTTTGTCTCATGGCACTGACTGAAATTCCCCACAATGCAACAGCTCCCCTTCCATTTCCTCCCCATAGTTACCTCTTCTCTGTGTCCTTCCTCCATGCATTCCTGCCCCCCAAGTTGTCTTCCTGTGCATACACAGCCCTTCTATTCTCCCATGACTGATCTCGCCAAGGAGTGTATCTACCTAATGTAAATGTTCAGCTGATATGCCTGTCTTTTGTTTGGCTGGAAGCCACAGGAGTGGGTTTAATTCCAGACCCAAAGGGGAGCTAGGGGCCATAGTCTCAGTGGTTCTGCCAGGCTCTATCAGACCAGCAAACTTGGTCCTTTTTTTTCTTTAAAATAATTTTGAGCTTTTTGTTCCACATTGTTCTCCCACTCTATCCAGAATCTCCTACATAGATCCCCCTCCAAGGGTTGACAGTGGTAGCTAAGCACCATCTAGCTCTTCTGGCTTCGTAGTCGTATAGGCTAAAGATCACATGGTGTACCAGTCTCTTGGACTAACTGTTTCCAAGTATTGATTTTCTTCATTCTTTTATGCTCTGGATGAGGAGAGAGACCCATTGTTGCATTTAGATGGCGGCTTGCAAGCTTTTAAGATCCCAGTTGCTACTCGCCAAAGTAGGATGTGGAACAATGTTTCTGTGTACTATATTATACCAGTGAGCTTGATGTCCCCTGAGACTATGGTCCTGAGCCCAAAGGTCCAACTACTCGCTCCCTCTGGGTAACTGGCTATGGCCAAGAAGTGACTACAACCTTGTCCCTCGTCAGCTCTACTATATACTTGGGAATTCTTACAGAACATACATATACACTTGTAGAACCACTGTCTGCCATCCATAGACATGGTCTTGGGCACACTCCTCCCTGCACAGATATACCTAATAGTTGAATAACTACTTCTTTATATTAGTTGACTAAATGAAGTCCAGTCAACAAGTATTTCAAAAGAGGTGATATGGAAAATTATTTGCTTTATATAAGATTTATTATATCAACCTTTTATCCCCCAGTACTATTTTGTTTACTGTGTGCTCGTGAGTCAATTTTGACTCATGGCGACTCTATGACAGAGCAGAACTGTCCCACAGGGTTTCCTAGGCTATGGTCTTTATGGAAGCAGATTATCAAGTCTTTTCTCCCAAGGAGCTGGTGGGTTCAAACCACAACCATTTGGTCAGCAGATGAGCACTTAACCATTGTGCCACCAGAGCTCCTACAATGTTGTTATGTGGCGTGGAGTCGGCCCGACTCATAGCGACCCCTCCTTGGGTTTCCGAGGCAGTATCACTACGGAAGTAGATTGCCCCATCTTCCTTCCGAGGAGTGGCTGGTGGGTTTGAACCACCAGCCTTCTGGTTAGCAGTCAAGTTGCCTTAGCCACTATGCTACCAGAGCTCCCAATCACTCTACAAAGTGTTATAATGAAACTAATCTAAGTAATTGTATTGCATTATAGTCAACTTGTCTAGAAGACAAAAAACAAACATTCACAGAACGGATGGATCCTTTGCTTCAATGAAAGAGTTATCTATAAAACTGTACCAAAATAGCAAAAAAGCCAGTGCTTGAGAATATATATATGTATGATTCCAGTTAAAACATGAAACAATGTATTGTTTAAGAAAACATATGGTAAAACTTGAGGAAAAAAAAAAGATTAAGTTGAAATTCAGGACAATGATGGGCTGTGGGTACAGCTGACAGGAAGAAGGGGGATGCTGTCCAGAATGGAGTAAACAGTTCTGAGGTTGCCTATTGTACCTTCTTACATTCATTTAAACAAAAAACGTTCTCTTCTGTACCTTTGGTTTGATTAAAGAAATAAGACTGTAAAATAAACAAGAGCGTCTCTGAATTACACAGCAGTGTTGTTTGGGTAACGTGTAAGTAGAAAAAGGATTTACTTTTTAAAAATATTTTTATTTTATCTTTTTTTTTAATTGCGATTTGGGTGAAAATTTACAGAACAGGCTGGTTTTCTATTCAACAACTTGACATGTTTTCTTTAGTAGCTTACATTTCCTCAGTAAATTTTAAACCACCTAAATATTTTCCCCAAAATACATGACTTAGAAATGACGTTCCTCTGAAAAGCATTTTATTAAGACAACATAGAAACAAATTACCATTCCTTTCAGAAACTTTATAAAAATTTATAAAAATAAAACAGCAGATAAAAAGATTTATGAGAAACGTCTATATTTAGGAAAAAGAAAACTGAGAAACTTCTTTTAAGTAATACGAAACACAAGAAAGCTGACTGCTGACTATAGTAACTATTATTGTGACTGCCCATTGTTGGGAAAATCATGGTATCAGACTTTGAGGTGGAAAGAAACTCTAGATGTTGGCCCTAAATTTTCACATGTTACAGATTAAAAACTGAGACTCCAAGGTAATAGTTTTGAGGCATGTTCTGAACCAGAAACGCAGGTCAGGGAAGGCTTTGATGTCAACACAGACATTCAGAATGTGCAGTTTTGACATCTTCAGTGGAAAAACACCATTTAAAAAAGAAACTTCAAAAAATGTAAAAGGTTTCCTTCCTTGGAATGGCCATACCGACTAAAACTCACACTATTCATACAAGAATTAGATGTAAGACCTAATGGTTTAGAATATGAAAACAAAACATGATCCCCAAAACACATCCTATCAGGACCACCTTCTTTACAACATGAAGAGGTTGTAAAATGACGCTAACAATTTAGAGGTGTAATACTTACATGTTTTCTTTCTGTAGCCTTTAGCGATTTGGCAGCGTAGTAAAAAAGTTGTGTCCCACACAAAGCTGCCCAATATTTTGTCCAAGATGCTACCTGCAGAAGACAAAAACATGAATATACTAATAAAATGCAACTGACCTTTCACTTTCTTCACTGTCTTAGTGCCAACTCCACTTTAGCCATCCAATGGTCAACCCATACCCATTACCCACTGCCATCAAGTTGATGCTGACTCATATTGACCACATGTGACAGAGTAGAAACTGCCTGACAGGGTTTCCAAGGCTCTAATCTTTATAAAAACAGACTGCCACATCTTTCTTCTGTGGAACAGCTGGTGTCTTTGAACTGCTGACCTTTTGGTTAGCAGTGCTTAACCACTGTGCCACCAGGGCTCCTTGATCAAACCTCAGACTTCTGAAATCTAATTATATTAGCTGAAAATGATACTATTCCTGCTAATATATTCTAGTACTCTCATTCAGGTAATTCTTGGTTACATCAAGAATTCTATCACTTGTAATATTATTTAGTATTTCTTACCCCACCCCATGGTTCTCCCCTTCTCTTTCCTCTGTATCTAGCCTAAATCCCATGGTCCAACACTAACATCATTCTCTTCCAAATACTTTAATCCCTTTGTCCCATTCTTCTAAGGCCCTAACCCTAGTTAAATCTAACCACCTGATTACATGGTACCATATTATTGTTGTTGTTAGGTGCTGTCAAGTCGTTTCCGACTCATAGCGACCCCATGCACAGTGGAACGAAACACTGCCCGATCCTGCGCCAGATCCATGATCCCTGCTATATACTTGAGCCCATTGTCGCAGCCACCATGTCAATTCATCTCATTGAAGGCCTTCCCCTCTTTCATCAACCCTCCACCTTACCAAGCATGACATCCTTCTCCAGGGAATTATTTCACAACTCGCAATTATTTCACTACTTCACACCTTCTCCTCTATCCTTAAATTTCTAATATCCCACCCTCCACAAGGATCTCACTGCATACTTCCCAGGTATGCAATCTGATGAGTACTATACCTCATTTTCTCAGCATCATTTCCATCCAAATACCTGTTTGTGAACTCACAACACACACACAGCCTTCCTCACTGCTACAACAGAATAGTTAACCCTGCTTCTCTGTAAGGACAAACTCAAAAGTCTCCTTCTATGTCCTACATTCCTATTTCTAACTTTCTCAAGGAATTTCCTTCTGTAATTAACTCACTTCCACTGCATCTCAATTTCTTTCCCTCTACTACTATACAACCGGACCTTACTTAATACTACCCCCATTTTAAAAAATTCTTCCCTTGACCCATCAGCTCACTCCCCAGACACCATGGAATTTTCCTGCTCTTTTTATAGCACAACTGCTAATTCTTGACTTTATTTCTATTTTGCCCATTTTCTCAACTTACTTCAGTAAGGCTTTCAAGCTGAAACTGTTGTTGTCAGGGTCACCGATGACTGTCAGTGGTCCTCTGTCCTCAACATACGCAAGTTTTCAGGAGCATCTGAACAACTGAGCAGTCCTTACTTCTTGAAATACTTCACTGCTTGGCTTCTGTGTTAACAGCTCTTTATTTTCCCTCTAAACTCTTCTTGTAACAGACCTCTACATACTACAGAGCTCTCGTCCAGTCCCAGCTTCAAATACTAACTGTATGACAATGACTCCCACATCTCTTATCCCTGGCCATCACCTCTCTGTTCAGCTCTTAAAACTGCATTCTTTCAAGAGCTAAACTGACATGTGCACTTGACTGTCTAGAAACCATACCAAGGTGAACTTGGCCAAGACTAACCCTCATGAACAACACAAAAAAAAATCTTTCATTATTTCAATAAATATCCCTAACATCTACCCAGCTCAGTTCCAAAAACCCAAACATTATCATCATTTCCACGTTTTCTCTCATGTATCCCATCCAATGTATCATCAAGCAATGAACACTCTTCCCTGTGATGTTACACAGCTAACTCACCCTCCTCACTTACATCTCAGCTTAAATGCTTTTTTATAATGGCATGCCTCCTAATTTCATTACTCTTCATCCCATTACTTTATTTAAGAGTTTATTCTCCATTTCTCTTCATTGGAAAGCAATCTCTATGAGGTAGGTATTTTGCCTCAACATTTTTTTTTTCAATTGTTCTGTGTCTATTACCTGGCACACAAGAGATGTGTGCTATTCTTCAACTGACATGCTGTTCTTAGTTCACTAGCCACTAGCCAGCCTAGTGTAGTCTCTTGACTGAATGTTGCTGCAGTTTGTAATACAAATAGGAAAATCAGATTACTTAGATATAAACCACTTTTACATTTTAAGAAGCCCTTATATAAGCTGTGGAGCTCTGGTAGCATAGTTGTTAAAGCATTCAGCTGCTAACCAAAAGGTTAGTGATTTGAATTCATCAGCTGCTCTGTGGGAGAAAGATGTGGCAATCTGCTTCTATAAAGATTTACAGTCTTAGAAACCCTATGGGGCAGTTCTACTCTGTCCTAAAGGGTCACTGTGAGTTGGAATTAACTTGATGGCATTAGGTTTAGTTTTGGGTATATAAGGTGTAGGTATAAGTAAAAGTTTTTATATTCCAAATTAGATAAACTATAATATTACCTGAGGGAACCAAAAAACAAAACCACCTTCTTTTTTTAGTAGTCAAAGTACTGTACCAGTTTGAGGAAGAACACATTTTTATGTTACATACGAAAAACTTTGTTCCACTAAAGTTCTTTTTAAATACAGTTATGGCTTGTAGGATATTTAATATCTGCAGTCTATTTTATGCAGTTAAAAAAAACCCGTACATTACCAAAAATAAAAACCAAACCTGTCATCACAGAGCCGATTCCAACTCATGGTTTACGTTATACAGTAGAAGTGTTCTGTAGGGTTTTCTTGGCTGTAATCTTTTAGGGAAGCAGTTCACCAGGCCTTTCTTCTGTAGGTCTCTGGGGTGGGTCTAAACCACAACCTTTAGGTTAGTGGCTAAGTGTAAACCATTTACACCACCCAAAAATCTACCTATATAAGAGATTTAGGAAAAAACTTAAACCTGGTAAGACAAAATCGGTGCAATTCCATTTCTTCAGGGTTGTTAGTCTCCTCCATTCTCTATTTTCCCCAAAGTTATCATTAAAATACCTCTTAACAGTCTAAACCTTCAGGGCTGTCTAAGAAACAGTTTTATACCTTAATGTACAATTTAGTGGAAATTTTCATGGCAGGGATAACAACATTTTAAATTGAAAAATATGGTGAGGCAAACGTGTATTTTAAATTATTTCAAGTCTCTTATATCCAGTTTTATTTCAATTGCTTTTATTTTTTTTTTTCAATGGCTCTATGTATTTATAAAGGAGTCAGTGTGGTGCAACGGTTAAGCACTAGGATGTTAACTGAAAGGTCAGTGGTTTGAACCCACCAGCCACTCCACACAAGAAAGATGTGGCAGCTGCTTCCGTAAAGATTTATAGCCTTGGAAACACTATAGGGCAGTTCTACTTTGTCCTATAGGGTCATTTGAATTGGAAGGGACTTGATGGCAATCGGTTTTATACATTTATATTTTTTCTTAGACGTGTGTTAAAATATAGTATAATGAAATCTTACTGTAGGCTTTTTGCCTTCTTTTAACAAAGTTTTTCTCCTGAGAACACCTTGAATAGTAACAGCTCCTGGATATAAATGTACTGCCAAATCTTCTGATTCTGCAGAACTATAAATAATGAAATGAAGAAAAGAACATATAAGAGCTTTTATCTGTAGTAGTCATCAAGTAAGTACTTAAATAAAATGTAATTATCCTTAATTTTAAAACTGTTATTTTATTCAGTGCTGAGAAGACAATTATAATGGTTTATTGATCTGAAATTGTTAAGCTGTCACAAGTTAATTAGGAAGTTATTAAAGCCAGCAGATGGTCAAAAAAAATCACTTCGTTACAAATTTGAACAAGTGTAATTTAGAAAGAATAGAGTAATTCACTTTAGTAAAGATTAAATTAAGAATTTAAGTTTTCTTCTTCTTCTTAACATGCCAGACTGCATCACTGTTGAAACTTTTTTTCCCCATTAGAAACTATCAGTCCTGGTAAAGAAAGATGTGGATTCTAATTGTTAAAAGTATTTAAGTACATCAAACTGAAAATAAAAATAGCAGAAGCTCACAAAAGGAAAAAAGAAAAAAAATGCTTAATTTAATTCTAAAATAGCTGAAAAAAGTAATAAAAAGCAGTAACAACAGACTAAAAAGCTTGGCTTTCTGCAAGAACTTTTAATGACAACTAATCCACCACCAGCCACTCCTCAGAAGGAAGATGGGGCAATCTACTTCCGTAGTGATACAGCCTCGGAAACCCAAGGAAGGGTCGCTATGAGTCTGGTCACTTGACGGCACATAACAACATCAACAACCCATAAGTGCTTGTTTATAGAATAACAGTGCCCCAAGAAAAGAATAACTCCAAAGGTCAAGATTTCCTTTTCATACATCTTAAAAAAATCATACAAAATAACCAAACATTTTAGTATCTTTCTCCAATTTATTTAAGATCCTATATTTAAAACAAGAATGATTTTTGTATGTGCTGATTAAAATACACTGTTAAAAACTGATTAGTTTTTGGTGGAACATGCACTGCAGCATTCCTACAACAGCAAAGAAAGATGAAAGTTTGTCAGTTTATCCCTTTATGCATTTAGGTGTCTTCAGAGTGACTTAAAGTCTAGAAACCACTAGAAATTGCATGTTAGAGCTATTTACATACAGGGAGTAGACACAAGGAGATCAGACACCATCAAAGTAACATAAAGTTCACTTCAAAAGTTTGATATTTGGTTTAATTGTGAATAGTTAACTACATACACCTCAACCAATCTACCATCCTTTTCTTCTTCCACAGCTAATATACTGCACAAAGAAACTTGGTTTAATGAGAATGAATGAATAAATAATTGAATGAACATGAGTTTAAATGCACAAATATCAGTAGACCTGTCTAAATTCAGGACCTGCAGTTTATCAGGTACATTATCAGATACATAATAAATGTAGATTCCTTAGCAAAGAAAATGCTTTGATTTCAGCCTTATGAATAACAAGCTAATTTTTATATTGCTCATCCAAAAACTTGCAGAATTAAAAAGAACTACACAGTTAAAAAGTTTTTGACTTGGAAGCATTTAAAAAATCTGACATGAAGATGCAAATTTTAGCAATGAGCTCTGTGGATCAGAAAGAATAGTTCAATTTTATCCTCTATATAACTTGGAAAGCGAGTTTTCCTGGGCATTTTATTTATTTTTTTAAAGGAATTAGTTGGAAAAGAACAGAACTAATGTCAGACCACACCCATGTAAGCCAATCACCAACACCAGGAGGGAGTTCTGTGACCCCTGAATGCAGGGGAATTGTACCTGCTGGCCTTCATGTGGCTTCGATAGCCATTTCGTGCCACTCTTGTCACCGAGCCGAGAGAATGGTATAATCTGTTCCTGTTGGATTCCATTATAAATTGTATATATTACATATACTTTTATTCACACAATCATCATCAGTACCTAGAGAACAGTATTTCTTCGTGTAATACAATTTTCTAAATCTTACAAAAGGACAGTGATTGCTCCTTTCTTTCTTTCTTAAAGCATGCAGCACAGGAGTCAAAATGTTTTCTTCTACTACTTACTCTAGAAACACTTAGGTATCCAGCACTACCATACACTTATATATACATTTACTCTGCTAAAAGAATCAAAGAGTAATTTATAATAACCAAGTGTTACCAAAACCTGAAAAATACTTAAAAACTTATTTTCTTTCTATTCCACTCTTTGGATTCCAGATTAATTATGATCCCTGACTTGTATCATTCGTTTTTGTTACACGACCCTATGATCCAAACCAAACCCATTGCTATCGAGTTGATTCTGACTCATAGTGACCCCTACAGGACAGAGCAGAACTGTCCCAGGGGGTTTCCAAAATTGTAAATCTTTATAGAAGCAGACTGCCTCATCTTTCTCGTATGGAACAGCTGGTGGGTTCTAACCACCAATCACTTGGTTAGCAGCTCAATGCTTTAACCACAGTGCCACTAGAGCTCCTTACATCCCTATGAAGACACCTAAAAAGCAGTATGATCTGTAAATTTAAAACTAGTGTGGCACAAACACTTTATTTTCCTCCTTATGCTTTATATTAAATCAAAGACAACTAATAAAAGATGAACTGAAAAAAAAGAGGCACAATTTTATTTCTTCATCAACTGACAAAGCCAATAAATTATAAAAAGGGTATGAGTTAACATTTAAAAAATGGTATGTAATGCTTAAAAAGGAAACACACACACATACACAAAAATACTGAACTTCTTTGTCTGGGAAAAGCCAAAAGTAGCACTGTTGATAAATGCTATTTAAAACAAAAAACATTGTTTTAGCAACTTAAGCCATAACATATTTGATGTCTCTCTATTTACAAGGAAGTAAGAACAAAAATTGGCATGTTTAACATTCAGAGTTTCAAGTTCACAGAGTGTTTTTAAATCCTAGTTCTTTATTCACTTTTTATTATTTCATGTCTGAACCTTGCTTAGTGGCATTAATTTAAATGCTCTCAAAATTTTCCAAGAGCCACTGATTTAAACTTGGTACAAATAGAGTAGATTTTTAGCTGCAAATGTCTGCAAAACATTTGTCTTAAGAGAAAAATATTGTTTTGAGATGTGAAGGTACCACCACTAATTACTGTTGTTGTCGTGTAAGTAACGTGCTGGGATGAGAACAGATTATTTAACATAACACCATTCTGGTTACTCACTTACAATTCTAGTAATCTGATAAACAATTCTGTGAATCACTACATTTCATCTAAAAGTACAATATATTCTATAATTAGCATCTGAATGTATTATGCTCTTTCTAGTGAGGGGTGGGGTGGGGTGGAGAACTAAGACAATTTGCATAAACGCAGATAGCATGGCAGAGGCAGCTGTGTGTTTTTTCCATTTCAGGTAAAGCCAAATAAAGAGATTGAAAGTAATGTTTGGAAGAGATGCAAAGACAAGTTGTTAAAAAAAAACCCAAATCAAAAGAGAATAAAACTTGGGAACACTGATAATTAGAATAGAAAGGATTAAAAGTACATAGAAATACAACTTACAAATAAAATCTTAATCACAAAATGGTGAGAAATTTTTATGAAGTTTCATCAAGAACAAAGGTCTAATTTTCTATTTATACTGCATAAAATGAATTCAAATATATAGTTTAGGATGTGTTTTCTATTAAAAAGTGACTGGTAGGGATTAGGTAACTAAATATCAACCTCATCAGTTTTAATACGACATTTAAAATTCAATATAAATGACATTCTTGTCGCTTTGAAATTTAGTTGCTTTGTTAGAGCAATTATTTTGGTTACCAGTCAAATTTGAAATGGCAGAACTGAAATAGAGATCATATAAGAATCCAAATGGACATTCAGTAGATTAAAATAGTTTGTGTTGTTTGGCTACATTTTTTTTGTTTTTTTAATTGTGATTTGGGTGAAAGTTTACAGAGCAAATTCACTTTCCATACAGCAGTTCACATACACTTTGTCTCATGACATTGACTACAATTTACCACAATGTAACAGCTGCCCTCCCACTTCCTCTAGATAGTTACCTCTTCCCTGTGTCCATCCCTCCATGTATTCCTGCCCCCTGAACTGTCTCCCTGTGCATAAATAGCTCTTCTTTCTCTCATGATTGATCTCTCCAAGGAGTGTATCTACCTCAAGTACATGTTCAACTCATATGCCTGTCTTTTGTTTGGCTGTCAGCCACAGGTGTGGGTTCAATTCTGGATCTGAAGGGCAGTTAGGGGCCATAGTCTCTGGTTCCACCAGGCTCTATCAGACCAGCAAACCTGGTCTCCCCCCCTTTTTTTCCCCCAAATGATTTTGAGTTTTGTTCCACATTTTTCTCCCTCTCTATCCAGGATCTCCTACATAGATCCCCCTCCGAGTGGTTGATCATGGTAGCCGGGCACCATCTAGTTCTTCTGGTCTCATAGTCGTATAGGCTGTGGATTGCATGGTGTACCAGTCTCTAGGACTAATTGTTTCCATGAATCTTTGGTTTTCTTCATTCTTCTTTGCTCTGTACGAGGAGAGACCCATTGTTGCATCTAGATGGCTGCTTGTAAGCTTTTAAGATCCCAGTCGCTACTCGCCTAAGTAGGAGGTAGAACAATGTTTCTGTGTAGTATGTTATGCCAATTGTGCTTGATGGCCCCTGCCACTATGGTCCCAAGTGTTTAGCTACATTTTTAAAAAGATCTTATACCTGAAGTTCAACAGTCATGTTATTTGCTGCAGGCAGATGACAGATTTAAAGCTATAGCAACAGGGAAATGAGAAGGGGGGCATGACTTATAAAATATTACAGTAAAAAAATCTATTTATGCTATGCAAATTTATTTGAGTTTATTACAATTTAAATGCAATCTTCAAGCTTTTCTTCTAATTTATGAATTACTAAGTCATTTTGCCCTTGAAAAGGCAGTAGAAAATGAAGTTGATTGTACCACTAACTGCCTTAAAAAATGACTTAAATAAACCAAAATTAGAGAAATAATTATACTTTTTAATACATACGTAGGCATGTTGACTATGATTGATTCTTATTATTTTAAAATAACAATTTAAGATATACTAAACCCAATACATTATGTGTCAAGCCATTAAATGAATATATATACATAAGATCCCGTCAAGCAATCATTTTCTTTATTTACAATTACAGACTCAAAGATCAAATTCTGATTTCTACTACCAGTAGGAATCACAAACAGTCCCTTGAGGATATGTCATAAAAATTCTCTCTTAATATTCACATTACCATATACTTAAAAATAGACAAAATAAACTCAGAGAAAATGTAAAGGGGTAATTTCTCTTACCTTTCAAAAGCAGGCCAGGAAGTCTCTTCACTTAGTTCAGAACCATCACTGCTACCTAAAATCAAGAGTTATTCTATAATTATTTTACCTGTTTGCATTTTATGTTTTAAAAATAAGTCCTCTAATCTGTGCTCATAAAATAAACATACTAATTCTTCATTCCACATACTAATTCTTCATTCTAATACTATTGCTGCTAGATTTATTTTGTAATACACTAGAATATAGTGGACAAGATGACTTAAAGTAACAAGAAAATAGCATAAATATGTTTTACATGTCTACTCACAGCTCAAATTCATTATGTTAATAAAGAATTTTTTCTACCACCAGAAAATCCACATAAGCACAGAGTATTTCTTTATTAAGTCTATCACAGTTTAAGACCAACGTGGTATCACTAGGGAAGTAGATTGTCCAACCTTTCATCTGAGGACTGGCTGGTGGGTTTGAATCAGTAGGCTTCTGGTTAGCACTCAAATGCCTTAGGCACCATGCTAACATCACTATACAAAAAAAAAACAAAACCCCAAACTTATTTCCATATAGTCGATTTTGACTCAAAGTGACCTCCTCCTTGGGTTTCCAAGGCGGTATCACTATGGAAGTAGATTGCCCAACCTTCCACCCGAGGAGTGGCTGGTGGGTTTGAACCACCAGCCTTCTGGTTAGCAGTCAAATGCCTTAGGCACTACACCACCAGAGGTCCTGTTTTTAGAGGTTCATGGCACATATATTCTCTTTTTATTCTTTGTGAAAACTATTTCTGCCTTAGGAGTAAAAAGCTTGATGTAATAATGAAATTCAGTTCTTTGCCTTTGGAGATAAGATAGAAGAGGATGGAATCCTTAAATTAAAGCAAACAAAAAACAGCACTATCACAATGTAAAAACTTTCTCCTTGGCCAGAACATTAGTTAAATTGATCTCAAATAGAGAGTTTTAAATTAGCTGGAGAAAAAATTGCGGGAATAAATTTGGAAAGTTCAAAATAGCATGAAATGACTTTAAAACTTATGTCAAATATAATTCTGACTCTTGATTAAACTGAGATGACTGATATGTCCTTTATGTATTAAGTTGAATTGTCCATCAGACTTTTACAGCTGGGGCTCTATGAGAGAATAAACAGTAATGCCCCAAGCTATTCATTATATGTAACGGATTAACCCTTCTCCTGTGTATATAGTTATGTACATCCTTGGAAGAACTGTGGTAACAATTACTGAAGGAATTTTTTGAGGTGTGTATGTGTGTTGGGAGGGTGAATGATGGTAGATTATCTTTTGATTTATAGCATTATATGGTAAGACTGAAAATTTAAACATAATTAGTATGACTCATATGTAGAAAATATTCCAAGAAGCACTGAGCTCAGAGTAGATGTGTGCACCTTTGCTAGGCAAGACTACTCTAGGTTGTCTAGAATGCATACACCACATTAGAAAATATCTGAGGCCACTGTCCTAAGGATTAATTTTCCCAGAGTACTTTCTCAAAGCCTTCATTGCACAGTAGTTAATACTGTATGTATGAACTACAGCTATGGGAAAAAAACTTTTGTGATTAAAAACTTGTGTATTAGCAGTTTTAATGCTACCATCTTATAGTTATACTTACTCTCTTTTCAAAATGTTAAAACTTTAAAACAAAAATCTTAATTTTAAAACAAGGATGCAACAATTTTAACACTTATCTACTTAAACATCCAAGAAGAACTAAAAAGTAATTACAAAGCTGAAAATTCAAACAGTGTACTCCTGCTCTAAAGGAGAAAGGTCTCCAAACTGAGGCACTACCTAAAACGAATAACTGTTGTTCTTAGGTGCTGTCGAGTTGATTCTGACTCATAGTGACCTACGTACAACAGAATGGACAATGCTGGGTCCTGCACTATCCTCACAATCCTTGCTATGCTTGAGCCCATCGCTGCAGCCACTCTGCCAATCCATGTTGTTGAGGGTCTTCCCCTTTTCCACTGGCCCCCTACTTTACCAAACATGGTATCTTTCTCCAGGGAATGGTCACTTCTGACAACATGACCAAAGTAGATGAGAGGAAGTCTGGCCATTCTTGCTTCTACGGAGCATTCTGGGTGTACTTCTTCCAGGAAAGATTTGTTTGTTCTTCTGGCAGTCCATGATATTTTCAGTATTCTTTGCCAACATTACAATTCAAAGGCATCAATTCTTCTTTGGCCTTCCTTATTCATTGTCTGGTTTTCACACGCATATGAGGTGACTCAAAATATCATGGCTTGGGTTAGGCGCACCTTAGTCTTCAAAGCGACATCTTTGCTCTTTAACACTCTAAAGAGGTCCTTCACAGCACATTTGCTCAGTGCAATATGACGTCTGATTTCTTTTTTTTTTTTTTT